TAGCCTTGATTTCACTATGTAGGTAGGGATGACCTTGAACCTCTGATCCTCTTATTTCTATTTCCTGGGTGCTGAGATTGTATACTTGTGACATCAGACATGATTTATGCTGGAATTGAACCCAGGGCTTGTGCGTGTTAACAAGCTCTCTACCAGATGAGCCACATCTCTAGCCCCTTGCTTTTGTTTCTGTCGAAGATTGCAAGGAGGAGTGATTCCAAGCCTGACACTTCTTCCCCAACAGGCGGGAAATGGGGACATTCTCACTTACTTTATGAAGCCTCTAAATAAGGCCCTGATAACAACCAAAAGCCCCATTAAGCTCTGTCATGATCAACATGGATTTATCTTTAATATGAAAGATTGACTTCATGCATAAAAGATAGTGAGTTCATTCGACCATATTAATAGATACGGGGAGATGGTATAATAACAGCAATGCATGCAGAAAACTCTGCGTTTCCAATGCAGAAGTCATTATGATAAACCCTATACGCGAAAAGTAAATATGAGCTTATCCTATAGTCAGAGGTGTACAGGGAGAGATTTGCATCTAGGACCTTTTGCATGTGAACAGCAGGTGTTCACACCACAGTGTAAGGACACAGAGTTTTCTTCTCTCTGGTTCAACTCATTCTTCTCTCAGAGGCTGCAGATGACCCGGGGAAGCTGTGAAAGACATTCAGACGGGAAGGAAGTAACCCTGGGTTTTTTTCAGTCACAGATTTTATGATGGGAGTGTAGAAAAGCCTCATGGATCTAAGACAGGACTGGAACTACTGGTGAAATTCGGGGCAATACAGAATTTAGTACCAAAAAATCAAAATTCTGTTTACTCAAAAAGTAAAAAACTAAACTGAAATAGCAACACCACTGAAAACACCCGCTGTGTAACAAAGACATTCAGCATTACCTTTGACACTGCAAGTTCCTCTCAAGAAGTACTGCAAAATTTAAATGAAGGAGAGATGCGCAGTGTTCATGTGTTACTGGCTGTTGTTTTCCCCCTAATTAACTTCTATTGATGCTGTTTCACCAACAATATGCAATTTTTTTCATAGAAACTTGTAAGATGATCTGAAATTTATTTGACAAAATGAAGGATGAAGTAATATCCAGGCACACCAAGAAGAAAAAGTCAAAGGGCATGCCTCAGGTGAATTCAAAACCCAAGACCCTGTACGAGAGGAATGGAGATAGTGTGGGACTAAGAAGTAAAAATCCAGATGCAGCCCAGTGTTTATAAGATGGTTTTCAAAACGGAGGCCCTCATGGAGCCCCGTGTTTCACACAGATGAAACAGACACCTCACAAACTTGATGAAGAATGAGAACTGCTCAGGGCAGCCCCAAACCACCTCAATGCAGACTTGAGAAATGATTGTGAAATTACAAACAAGTCTTCGAGCAGAGAAAGGGAGCTTCCTCTCAGCTTTGTCAGAAGAAAAGATATCTTGTTCTTTTTCTTTAAAGCAAGGGTCAAAGCTAAAATGGTAGATTCAAGCCTATGTTAACTAAAAATTCTGTTTGCCACAAGTTACAGAAATACCAGAAATAATAAAGCTTAGAATACTTCCAACCAACAGCAAAAGAAATGGCCAAGGCAAATGGGAGGAAATCGTGACTGCTGTTCTTCCAACAGAGGATGACTGCTTAGGACACACCAAGGAATCCGTACATAAAACCCTGAAAGAAGAGAGTGATTATTCCACTTCAGGGCTGGAGAGGGGCTCGGTGGTTAAAGGCATTTTGCTGCTCTTCATAGGACCCAAATTTGGTCCACAATAAATACCCCGTAATACCCCATCTGGTGGCTCATAGTGGCCTATGACTCCAGCTCTAAGATCTGATGCCCTTTTCTGACCTCTGAGCTCACTGCACTGGCACATACTCACGTGCAATTAAATAAACAAATTAACCTCAAAGAAAAAATAATTTGGTCATAAGGGGCAAACAAACAGAATGGGCACTTTTCGAAAGAAAACTGTACAAATAATCAATACACACATTTTAACGATCAGGAAAGGCAAATCATCCCTTTCAAATCATCCAGAGTTCAAATCGTCCAGAGTTCAAATCATCCCTGCCAGAATGGGATGTCCTCAAGGAAACAGAAAAATAGCAGTGGTGGGGAGGATGTAGAGAAAATGGAGGCGTAGGGAATTCCCACAACAGAAATCAGAGTAAAGATTCCTCATAAAACTTGAAGTTACATAGCTACGTGCACAGCCATGTCGATTATATTCATAAGAGACTGTTCATGGAACCAGGCCTGTGCCTACTTTGGTACTCTAGATGAAGAAAGGATTTTGGTACATGTACACAATGGAGTTTTGTTCAGCCACATAGAGAACAACATTACATCACTTCAGGAAGACAGAACTGGAGATCACGTTAAGGAAAACAAGCCATACTCGGAAAGACGACCACCAGATTTTCTTTCCTTTGTGGATCCGAGGGAAGGAATCAAGAAAGTAGGAGGGAGCCTACTAAGAAAGACGAAGGGAATCCAATCGGGCGAAGGGAAGAGGCGGAATAGTAATGGTGAAAGGCTATGAATATGAGCAGACTGCAATGTATGCAGGTGTGAAAATCGCACAATGAAGCACTGGAAAGATGGCTCAGAAGCTAAGAGCACATGCTGTTCTTCCAAAGAACCCAAGACGATACAATATTACCGAAGGAAACAGGAAGAGCATTGTAAACAACTTCCAAAACTGCAGAATTGAGAGAGACATCTCAGTGCCTGGACAATCACCCAGTTCTTCTGTACCATTGGGGCCCCCATCTTCATCCTACAGGCTCACTGTGTGGAAATGTGAGTGGTAAGCCCTAGGTGCAGTGGAGACCCCATGAGGCTGGCAATCCCAGGTAGGTGGGGCTGGTACCTATAAATCACCAGATACTATGGAGTCAGCCTGAGAGAGGCCATGAGGGTTCAGATGACAAGCCCACGGGGATGGATGGGGCTGCTGATGTCTGTGACCTCACACCTGGACATCATGCGCTCCAGGTCCTGATTAGGAGTCTAGGACGTACTGCTTCGATTCTGGCCTTGCTCTGACCCCATCCTTCCTTGCTATTCAACCATTCCTCACTTTTGGAACTAGAATGTTCGTTCCATGCCAGCATATCTTAAAAGTATGTCACTTGTTTTTGACTTTATAGGAGTAGACAGCTTAAAGTTTGCCTTGGGTCTCGAAGGAGACTTTGAACTTGGACTTTTATACAGTGTTGGAACTGTTCTGACTTTGGGGATGCTTGAAGGTAGGGTAAATGCACTTTGCATTATGACATAGCATGAGCCTTTTAAGGATGGAGCAGAATATTATAGTTTGGATATAAAATTTCTCTTGCAGACTCACGCGTTGAACATTTAGTCCCTAGCTAGTGGCACTGTTTAGAAACTTTAGGATGTGATGCTGAGTTAGAGGAAGTAGCTCAACAAGGAGGCCTGCCTGGCTGCTCTATCATGCCAAAATCTTCTCTCCCCCACTCTCTAGCTCTTTCTCACTCTCTCTTTCTCCCTCCTTCCTTCCATATACACAAGGAAGTGGAGAACCTCCTCCGATGCTCCCAGTACCACAACGTTCTGCTCCTGTGTTCTGCACAGGACCAAGCTGGAGTGGTATTTTGTTTGTGCTTTAACAAATAAAGCTTGCCTGTAGATCATAGTGCAGAACTAAGGCATTCGAGACCAGGGAATGGTAGCATGCACCTTTAATTCCAGCTCTCAAGAGACAGAGGCAGAGGGATTTCTGCTAGTTTAAGGCCACCCTGGGTTACTCAAAATTTATCTAGTCTTAAAGAGAAAGAGAGCTCACACACAGGTAATCTCAGCACTTGCAATCCCATGCCCTTAATCTCAGAATTAGAGAGGTGGAGACAGGAGTGATATGGTTGGGTGGAGACAGGAACATAATGCGGGGGGAGACAGGAGCTTATTGTTCATTGCAGTCCGAGGAGGCAGTCTGAGGACAGGACAGCTCTTTTGGTCTGAGAATTCAGTAGAAGTAAAAGGTCTCACTCGTGGCTGGCTGCTCTGCTTCTCTCTCTTCTTCAGCATTAACCCCGACATCTGACTCCAGGGTTTTATTAAGAACAATTTATATTACACCAAGCAACTGGATTGTATTCTCTGAAATCTAAGAGATGAAAATGTGCCTAATACAAGAACAAATGAAGACAACACAATAAAAATTGGGTTTTATAAAATCATATTAAGTATAAAAACAGCAAATTACCAAGTGATTGGCTGGGTGTAAAGGAGACTGCACTTGCAATTCCAGTAACCGAGAGCCTTGGACAGGGTGTCATGAGTTTGAGGCCATCCTGGCTCAATAGAACTAGAAAAGAACTAGAAAAAAACCAAAAAACCAAACCAAAACAACAACAACAAAAATCTCTCATTGCTTAACATCATTAGCTCCCATGAAAATGTGAATTAAAGTGACTGTATTTCCAATAGAAACACTAAGACTGTTGAAGGTCTGAAACCATAGACGACCAGAAAGAATTTGGAGCAACCAGAACTCTTGTTCATTGACAGTAGGCATGCAAAGCACTGAAATATCTTTCAGAGTCTTTTAAGCAACTTCTTAAAATTTTACATGCATCCCATACCCGCTCCAGCAATGCCATTTCTAAGAACTTATTCAAGAGAAATAAAATTGCCTCAACAAGGGCTTATTCAGCAATGTGATTTAATGGATAGGTAGCTCTCTGGAATGTATAAAATTACATCAACATACAGAGGTATAAGTTGTGTGTTGGTGCACTGAAGGTTCCAGATCAGGGCTGCTTAGTGTGCAGTGAGGGTCAAATCCATAGCCTCTTTTTTCACTAATTGCTATTGCATGCATGCATGCATGTGTGCATGTGTCCGTGCTTGCGCACGCGTGTGTGTGTGTGTGTATGTGTGTACTGCTACCTGTAAGTGTGTTTTCAGGGCTGACCTTTTGGCACTGGTGTGCTCTTCCCTGGGGAAGCCCATTTCTCCCACTCCCTGTTTTCTTCAGTGTAGTATACCATCTTCTTAGCGCACAGTGGTGGCACCAGCTTAGGTGATTGCCTGGCATACAGTGATGATTGCAGACCAGGTACTTGCCAGGTGCATATTGGTGGTTCTGTATCAGGTGCTTTCCCAGTGCACAGTGATGATTCTGAGTCAGGTGTTAGTGCACAGTGGTGGCACGGGCTTAGATGTCTGATTGTTGTGGCAATGGTTCTGAGCAGGTACTTTCCAGGTACACAGTGTTGGTTATGGACCAAATACTTGCCTGGGGTGCACTGATGGTTCTTGGTCACCAAGTGTTTGTTGCCCAAATGAGCGAGCATTGCAGTAGCCAGGGAGAGGGTGCTGTGAGCAGAGCCGCTGCACCCAGCCGCCTTCTACACGTCTCCACTCTCAATCACCACTGCGAAATGGAAACGGCCATATGTGCATTCCACAACTTTATGAACCCACGTGCCTTTCTATACAGCCAGTTTTAATCAGTTTAAACCTTTAATGTCACAGTAATGGAAATGATTATAACTATAAAATAAGATGAAACCTAACTGTGGGTAACTAAACAACAGCCTATTGAAACTTTGGAATGAAATATTTAATGTGTTAAACACTCTTGTGTGAGAGGCTGTAAAATGGTTTTTTTAAATAAAACCTCGCTTTCCATATGCCCACACTCCCCCACCTCCACGGAGAATAGCTAGAAAAAGCTCTTAATTCAAATAAAGAAAGGATACGATGTTGCCGGTGCGAGCACATGAAGCTGGAATAAGGGACATTGCTGAGGAAATGTTTGAGGACACGCGGGAATTAATATGCCATGTGTGGTAGTTGACACAGCTCATTCTGAAGCCGATAAATCATCCATAGGAAAAATAAACACCCACTAAAAAGAAATAGATCATGCTGAAGTCATACACGTCAAGAACAGATCGGATGTGCTCGCCACCTGTTGACACAGCGTGGAGTTTCTGCTAAGGCAGACACTCTATCCACTAAATCACAGGGCACCCCCGCGGAGACGGGCCTGTGGTCTAGGTGGCCTCACGCTGTGCAGGTACCTGCACTCCTGCAGTGTGGGTGGATGGCTGACAAATCTGGAGGCTTGGCATGTCAGAGCTCCTAGTCACCGAGCCATGAGACTGGGCACTAATGCATGAGTTAGCAAGATGCTCACAGCAGCTGTGCGTGACTTCTGACTCAATCCGCGTGACCTCGCTAAACAACTCTTACTGAGGTGAGGAAACATTTAGATGGCCTCTGTGCGTCTTGCCTCAGGATGGGGTCTGTGGCCCTGTGTCCTAAGCACTGCTTCTAAACAGAATGTGGCAGTGGTGTGGATCCCAGTTGCCGGTCAGGGCCATCACAGTCCCTAAGACTGTCCCTCACCAGGTTCCCTCAAGGTCTTCTCTCGCCCTGCTGGCTATTTGAAAGACTGTTTTTCCCCTGATGCCTTATTTTGAACTCAGGTTTGTCAACCGGGATGGCATAGAGAGCCCAGCAACATGGAACAGAAGCTTCCACTGATGGTCTTTTCTCTAGGAAAAAGCCACATGATGAAGAGCCGGGACCGGTGAGGAAGGGAGAATCAGAAGCTTCCAGGCCAGAGCTTTCACTGTGATGTTCTGCAAAAGGCAAATGAGATCAGAGCAGACTTTGCAGGATCGCTGGCTGAAAAGACCTGGTGGCCATGGTCACAGGGATGCTCCACTGAAGTTGTCTGGTTTCTGGCCCTGAGTTCTTTCGGGAATGGAAAGTCCTTGGTGGTAAAGCGGTTTGCAGGCCACTAGCACGCTACCATCATCTTTAATAATTTACCAGCCTTGAAGGAGCAGATTCCCCAGATCTGTGAGGAACCCAAAAGCAAGAGTGCCAAACCCACAGAAAATAAGGAAACTGGGATCTGAACCATGACCCTGGGATGAACAGATGCCAAGCAGATCAGTAGAGAAATAAGAAAATAAAGTTAGAGAGTCTCACAGCTGTATGGATCCCACCAGGATCTACAGCCTCTAAAGAGCCACTCAGAAGCCTCTAAGGAGTCCTGTCTTGGAGCACTCACCAGCACAGCCGCTGTAGCCCGAGGATAGCTTTCCTTGATCCCAGTTCCTGGAAACAGAAAGAAATTAAGCACAGGTCATAATGAGAGGTTAGTTCTTTTAGAGTGACTGGAACATTCTTCCTAGACCCAGTCCCCAGAGACAGAGCCTAAGGAACTGACCACAGAAGACAGAGCTCATAGTGTGCAGCAGTCTTTAACCAAGGCTCTGAACCATCTTCTCGCAGCCCCCATCTTTAGGCCCAAGAGAGCATCAAGCCTTCACGTATCTCAGGTCTTTTCTACCTCCCTGAGCCTTAAGTATGGTGAATTTCAGAGCACCTTCTCAGGATGCCATGGCTGCCTTTTGTCTAATTTGTCCCTCAGAGAACAGTGAAGTCCCAGTTCTCAGTACAAGTGATAGGACTTCATTTGGAAACGAGACCAAGTTCATGTAAAATCAGGAGGTGGACGCTGTGATGGCCAGCTTCATTTGTCAATTCAAAACAAGGCAGAATTTGCCTGGAAGAGAGTTTCAGTGAGCTGCTATCTACATCAGGCTGGCCTGTAGTAATGCCACTCTCTCCAGGGACTGCAGGGAGTGAGAAATGACCTCATCAAACATCCAGAACTAAGGGCTCGGTGTGGAAAACAATTGCTGCACCAGCGGGAAGACCCTGCTCAAGGTCACAGGCAAAGCAGGTGCACTACTTCAAGTCTCTAACCCAAGGGAAAGGGAGGTAGAGGAAGACAGACCCACAGAGCTCACTGGGCAGGTAGCTGGATTCTACAGCACCTGCCATCTTGTTTGTCTTGTATCTCATTTTCCAAATGAAAAGTTAAGGTATGAGAGGGTATAGCTGTGCACCTTGGGGTACTGGAGTAGCTATTTTTCCTACTGGACTGAAAATTCCATTTAAAAATCATTTGGGTGAAACAGGAGACACCCATGGAATTGTGCAACATGAAGAGGCCAGAAATTAAGTGAGAAAATCAGCCACACGTTGCAGTTATGTCAACACCCTAAGAAGAATACACCATGCAACCTCATTCTTCTGCCGTTAAGTTCAAAGACGACTCCAAATATCCAAATACCAAGGTTTCTTAAAATAAGTCTTCCAATTGGTTGGGCATTGCATTTTTGCCTTACTTTATGGTGCTTTTTCAATGCAGATAGACATGGAATCATTTCACCCGAGTAACAAAGGCTCCTCTGAGTTCCTCTGTAGTTCTCTTGTCTTCTGGGTCAGTTTGATTTCCATCCTGACCTGCATACGTACCTACATCAAGTGCCTTCCATGAGAGTATTTTGAGAGAACCAGGAGGGAGTCTGCCTCTATGAAACATTATTATGAATTTGTGTATGGGATTGAAAGGATATCAAAAGCTTTTAGTCAGTTACAAAAATATATTTGTGTTTATGAGTGTGTGTGTGTGTTGTATATACATGTTTTTGTGGGCATGCTCATGAGTGTAAATGGGTACATACGCATATGTGTACTTGGAAGTTGGAGGTCAATATCGATTGTCTTCATTCATTCTCCACCTGATTTTTTGAGACAATCTCTAACTGGGCCTGAAGCTCATCATTTCACCAAGACTGCATGGGCAGTGAAGTTCAGGAATCTTCCTGACTCTCTTTCCCCACAACAGGATTAGATAAATATGCTACCAGGCTCATCTCTTTTTTTGTGGGTGCTGAGGATCCAAAGTTGGGTGTTATGCCTGTGGGGCAAGCATGTTTTACCTACTGAGCCATCTCCCTACCCCCAAGAATGTATCCAGATCTTGAGTTGAACACATGGTCACCAGTCTCTGAGTGTGCTGGTGGCAAACAGCAAAGCTACCTGCATGCTCTGCCAACTACCGAGGTGGCCATGTGTGAGTGTCAGGAGTTCAAGCTGACTGTAGCTGGGTTAGCACGTCTTCTCTTTCCAAGTCTGCCTCATTTGGAACCTGCCCTAGACTCTTTTCCCTTCTTGTCTATCATAGAATGTGTTTATCTTCTGTGGCTCTTCTCCACCCTACTGCTGGGGCTTGTTGCTTAACCACGGCTCTCTCTTGCTCAGGACTCTCTCAGAGACCTGCTCCACCCCTTCCCAGCTCTTCTCTAGGATTGCTCAAGCTTGGAACATCTGTGCACCTCAAAAGCACTGAGCAGGGTGACCTGGCAGAGTCATGGGCAGGGTAGAACCCGTTTCAGTGCCTTGCAGCTCTATAACATTTCCTTCACCCCAGAGCCAACCCCTTCAGAATTCTAAGCCAAAGAAAGCCCTCAGTGGTTACGCTTGATTTGTGAGTTGTGACTGGTGCAGCCAAGCAACTATCTCATTTAAAGGCATCATCCAAAACTAAATGAGCCTCTAAGAGATGGCCTATGCAGCCTTCAGTATACGTGGGGGCTGAGGTCAGCTGCAACTATGCACGTTGTGTGTGTGTGTGTGCGTTCGTGCACTTGCTGTGTGACAGGCAGGCAGGGAGAGGAGGGTGGCCATGATGTTATCACAGGAGAACACTGGGAGGGGCCCAGAGGAAAACATTGGCTTTTCTGCCTGTACCCCAGGCATCTCCATGGGCTGAAATGGCACCGTCAAACATTTTAAAAGAAAATAATGAATCTAGCATCCCAGTTTCACTGAATAAAGAGGACTGAAATAGCTGAGCAGACAAAAATGCAGGGAGCACAAAAAAGCAAGCTCCTAATTAGTTAATACAAAACATGCTGAATCCAATTAGAGGGAACCCACAACACACGTTCAGTATTCTTTCTGAACAGATGAGAACAAATACATCTTTAAATCAATACTGCATCACTGAGCGTCCAAGCTTGGTCTAAAGGCACAGAAGAAAGATCCCAACAGTAAAGTGCTGACCCTACTGAGGCCGAGGTTTGTGTCGTAATTTCTTCGACTCCCAGGAGACTGGTGAAGAACTTTGAGTACCTCATTAGCATAAGGCTGGCTAAAATCTATTGATTTTTTTTTTTTACCTCTATAGAATATTCTGTTTTCATTAGGAGATGCTGAGTTAGGATTGTTACCATCCTGGGCCCGTTTCCCCCCTGGTTAAGCGGGAATGCGCGTCCTAATGAGGACACACCTCGGAGGAAGCAAGGAGGACTCAGCCTGGCTGTCAGCTCCTGTCACAGCATTCCGGGGCTCTCCCTCTTAAATCCTGCTTGGTATTTTTAGAATGTAGCAAAGCATTTAATCCTCAATAATTTGACTTTCCGCAAAAAGACAAACTCATTTATATGACTGTCAATTTAATCCACTCCCTCTACTGTTGTATTTGGGGTTTGATTGTATTATTTTTTTAAAGTAAAAAGGAGACAATTAAGATAAAAAATAATACCCCGACCATCTTGATCTGAGTCTCTGAAGGCCTCTCTAAATTTAGAAAACCTGGCACAGACAGAAAAGCCAACATGAAGCTGCATTTGGTCACCGCACAGCAGGCTCCCATGGCGTCCAGATGGGATGCTGGATTTTGCCCCAAGCTTGTCCAGGCTGACCCAGCTGATCTCTGGTCTTCTGAAGGACCAAGTCTAAGAGAGCCCCCAAGTTTTTGTACCTGGGTGGGAAAAGAACAGCCATTTTAGGACTTGGCAGTCAATCTTGAGTTATGTTAAGCCCCTACTTTAGGGTTCTACATACACACCTGTCTATGAGTAAATGTACAAGTTCAGAGGGCGAATGGTGGAGAGTAAAGTCTTCTGAGGACCAGTGGTGCCCACGCCCTGCTGAGGTTATACAGTCCTTTGAATGTGTGAACAGAAGGCCAAGGGTAGGCCTGCCCTCTCTATAATGACCCGTGCCCAGTTCTGTGACCGTCCATCCTCTGTACATATTAGCTTCACCTCCAACACACATCATCATCCAAGCATCACCATCCCAGATGTGCAGGATCCAGGGGACAACCTCTCCCAAGATGGCTTCCCCAGCCTTATCCTGGAGTCCTGCTGTGTGCCTAGCTTGACAAGAACCTCCTGCAGCCCGTGGTTCCTCTAAAGACGTCAGCGTTCACCACAGGATGGCAGGACAGTTGTGTGTCCACGATGCTGCTTCCACTGGCTCTTTTGAGCAGACTTGGCTAGGAGTCCCCTTGGGTTCCCACAGCCCATTGTTGTCTCTGTTTCTCTGAAGAGAGACTGAATCCTGAGTAGGTCCTACTGTGAGGAGGTTCTGAACCTCATAAAAGGCCTGTGCCAAGTACAAGCATTTTGTAGGGGTGGAGGACTGAGCTCCTTCTGTTTTGACCAGTCAGTGCTCATAATGTGACTACCTCTTTGATGTAACCACTTATTTCCACCCAACTCTACATAGCCGTCACTGAGAGCCTTCTATGACCTGGCCTACTCCCTCCTCTGACCTCTTCCATGGAGCGGCATCCTCAACATCTGCCCAGCTGTCCACCTACCTCTCACATCAGCCTCCTGTGACATCAGGAGAATGGGGAGGGCACACTTTTGCAGACTTCACATCCTCTTAGAAATTGTACCATGGGCAATGACAATACGAAAGAGAATATTACATAGTTTAGATGCTTTATTGGTAGATCTTTCCACACAGTGAACTTGATCTTAGGGAGTGTGCCCTGAAGGTTTAGAGATCTCTGAAGCCTCTCATGATGGTTTAGGAGTCAGCCTTGGGGTGGGAGATCTTCAATCCTGAAAAGCCTGACTTCCCCTGAGAATGGACTCCACCTACAATGTTGGAAGATCTGGGAACAGTGGCTCATTGTCTTTTCTCACAACCCTAGGAGACATTCCTTACTCCTCAGAAGAGATAGACATGGTGTGGTCCTCCATGGTGAGGTGTCCTCAGCACATCTGAACTGGTCTGGGAGTGAAGGGTGGGATTCCCAGTGTGAAATGACTTATCAGTCAAGCCTTCTAGGATGTTGTTGATGGGGAACTCTCAACAGTTAGTCTCAACCCCAGGTTCTACATTTGGGAAATCATTCTAAATTCTGAGCTGAGAAGTTATGCACATTGACAAGCCGTGGTCACTATGAGCTGAATGGCCTCACCCAGCCATAGTCTCCACATGGTGTCACCAAGACCCACTCTCCCTGTGGACCTGGGGAAGCAAAAGTCTGTCAACCAGACCAGGAAGATGCTGCTTCTTGACCTTGGGGAGCACTCCATGAACCAAAGACCTAGTGAAGACTTTGGCCATATAATGACCTTCAGAACTGATGGTTCAACCCAGCAACATAGAAGAGAAGCCGAACACTGCACTTTCAAAGCCCTGGTAGAGGTGCCTGTCTTAGAACCTGGTGTGGGTTGAGCCTCCTAAGGAAAGTAAGCAGTAAATGAATGAAAGTCTTGGTGATGTGACAGCCCCTAGCTGTCTGGAACCTTTGTCCCCTCTCAGACTCACATTGGAGTTTCCTTCCACTGCGACAGTAGTAAGGGTGGGGTCTTTAAGAAAGGCTTAAGTCTGAAGGACAGCTCTGCTCCCATTCATGAATTAACAGCATCATCCAGGGCATGGGTAAGTTACCTCAAGTAGGCTGTTTGGATTAATGACATGATCTAGGGCATGGACAAATGATCAGGAGTGGGCGATTCATCTCAGGAGTGGATTAGTCCTCTCTAGAGTCTAGCGATCGTCTCGGGAATATGCTGGTTATGTCTAGCATGGATTCATTACCTTGGGAATATTTTAGTCCTCTCAGGAGTGGGTTAGTAGTTAACAGAGTAGAATGTTACCTGGGGAGTGGGTTAATTAACTCAGGAGTTGATTAACTACCTCAGGAGTATGACAATTTTCTCAAAAATGGGTTAGTTACCTCAAAAATGGGTTATTTACCTCAGGAATAGGTTATTTGTCCCTTGAATACTGAATGCCATGGAAGAGTCACAGTTCAGGGAATGCCAGCAATCCTGAGCTTTTCTTCTCTCCCTGCTTGAGATATCCTCAAAGCAGGCTATGCTCCTCCCGTTTCTGTTCACATAGGTGACACAATGATTAAGGAACCTATGGGTGACCACTCAGCTACTCTAAACCGAATTTCTCTAGACATGTATCCATCTAGAACTTCAGACATTGACCTTGCTGAGCAGTGACATTGCCAAGAGGACTTGTTAAAATGTGGTCCTAATGAGCTAGGGTGGTCCTGATACAACATCTGGACATATGGAACTGGTATGGAAGATAGCACCAGATGGTTGTGAGGGGACCACAAGCCAAGGAAAGCGATCCCTAGGAGTTGAAAGAATCAGAAGCAGCTATTTCCTGGACTTCTGAAGGAAATGTCTCGGCCACAATGTGCTCCACAGAGATAAGAACACAGTTACCATCGTTCTAAGCTACCAGGCATGGTGACGCAGCATGGTCTCTCTAGTAAACAGATGGTACAGTCATCCATGATCACTTTGGTCTCATCTACCATTCAACACTATCTTTCTGTGGCTTTCCAGTTCTCCAAACCCAAGCCAGGCAAGGTGTGATGGGAGGATTGGCTAGGACAGGATGTGTTGAGTAGATGGGCATCCCATCAACAGTCGAAAGTCCTGGGGCTCTGGCTCAGAAGAGCTGAAGGCACACATGATTGAGGACACTCAAGGGGAGGAATGTCCTTTTGACAAATTTTTAGCTGTCAGAGACCTCAAACAGTATTGGGAGTCCCATGATCGCTGTGAGGATAGAAGGAATGTTCTCAAATGTTCAGGGTAGTGTTTTATTTTCTTACATCTGCATAGACATTTGCCTGCTAACAGCTTATGACCAACATCCTGATTGACATTAAAGACTATGATCTTTCTACACATCACTGGCCACTACTGAGTCCCCCAAGATTTATAGTGATTCACAGCACTGTAAGGAGTAGCCCACTGAGGACAATGGGGGTCCCTTTTAACCCAGGTTGCCTCTCTCCTGTTTGAAGGAGTCTTGACCTGTATAATTCATCAAGCAAAGTTCTCCAGGAAAATTAAACCAACAGAAGATTTTCATGGACACATATATAATCAAATAATACACATTCATATATATAAATACATACCAGATAGACACAAACATAATCACCCTCAGGTAACATATACACATATATACTATATATGCCTATAGATAGATGATAGATAGATAGATAGATAGATAGATAGATAGATAGATAGATAGATAGATAGACAGACTATATACATTGAGACAAGATATTACTGCCCACACAGGACTAGAACCTACCATGTAGCCCAGGCTAGCTTTAAACTCATTGCCATTCCGATTGCTTCAGTATGCAAATGCTAAATGCTTCACTATCACTCTCTCTCTCTCTCTCTCTCTCTCTCTCTCTCTCTCTCTCTCTCATCTTTTTGAGACAGGATCTCACTATGTTGTTCAGGCTGGCCTTGAGGTCATGCCAATCTGCCTTCCTCAGTTTTCAGAGTATTGGGACTATTAGGCACGAGCCACCACACATGGCTTGAAAACTCTATTAAAAGGATATTTTAATACTTGTTTGGTTTGGCTAGTATTCATAATTTGGCTAGGCTATGGTAGGATTTGTGAGTTTGAAGGCCTTCAGATAGGATGGCAGCCGGGAGCACAGGCAGGTAGGGGCCAGTCTTCAGGAAGGAACTCTTCTTGATGGCATCTGAGAAGACAGGTCATTCAGTCGTGAGAGGAAGCGAGAGAAGCCCTGCGTTCACAGACTCTGACAGGGATCTGGAAACAATAGGGACTGTTGGGAAGATCAGCTTGAAGGCAACGTCTTTAAGCACCAGGTGGAGGGAGGTCATGCTGACCTGCCGTGTGCACCCGGGTAAATAGGATGGGGCCACTGTTGATTTAAAGAAGGTACCTTCTGAGTGTGGGTGATTACCAACTTTCATGGTGAAGCCTAAAACTCAGCAGCTACTCCAGCAGGACAGCACGTTGTCTAGCAACCTCGGGCAGCCTCGGGGCAGCAACTCCTAGAGCACATGGAGGCCGGCGATCCCTGATAGCCTATTTAAATAGCATCACGCTGGAAGCACTCAGGCAGCAGGCCGGGGCTCTGCTTTATCTGTGGGTGTCCACACGACTCCCAGTCCCAGCACAGAACAGCTCTGTGGCTATTTGTTTTAACTGAACAAACATGGATTTCCATTAAGAACTCAGGTCAACTCCTCTGAAACCTTGGAAAAGGCACACACAGAGTGCTTTAAGCTCCCGACTGCCCGGATCCAGAAGACAGGAGCTTCTGACAGGGGATGTGTGAAGACGTGGGCACAGGTGGCACGGATAACAATGTCATCGAAAATAGACAAAGATATCATCATAGACATATTGTTATGTAAACAAAGGTATCCCCATCCATGCATGAACCAGGAAAGAGAGAGACAACCTCAAATAAACAAGCATGTTTGATACAGTGGGACCATTCTGAGCCTCAAATTTTCATACTTCATTGATAAAATATAAACTTCATTGATAAAATATAAAAGAAAAAGTTGAGGAGAAATAACTACTTGAGAGCGGCTTACAATGCAGGCCAGGCTAAACTTGAGTTTACTGTAATCCCCCTGCCTCTGATTCTGCATGCTAGAACTATAGGCATGTGCTGCCACAGCTCGCCCATTTCCTGTGTTTTAGTATTTATGAGTTTAACACCTTTTCAGACAACTCAAGTCTGTGATAGCGAAGATACTAAAGTCAAGGGCTGGGCTTCTTGGCAAAGTGATTGATAGTGCGAAGGCCCAAGTTTAGATCTCCAAAACCCATGTGCAAAAAAATATTGGATTTGGTAGCTAATACCTACAATCCCAGCACTGGAGAGGCAGAGGCAGACAGATAGATCCCTGGATCTCAGTGGTCAGCTAGGCTAGAGGACCAGCAAGCTCCAAATTGTCTGGGAGACTGTCTCAAAAAACAAACAAACAGAAACCACTAAGGTAGATCAGGATTGAGGAAGACTTCAGACATGTATCTCTGTCCTCCACATGCATGTGCACACAAGCATACTGCACAAAAAAATGCACATGAAAACACACACACACATGCATACAGCACTTAAAGGCAAGTGTATGTCATCCTTGGATGTGTTTTAGTCAACATACAGTGTGATCAGTTTCTTGCTTATCAGAAGAGATAAGTTGTCCGAGGTTTTCTGTCCTGCCCAGTCCTGCAGCTGTTCAGTCCCAAAGAAACACAGAGAGGTTTACATTAATT